AATACTCCTGTAATATTAAAAAAATATTTATGATATTTTCGAAATATTATAATAACATTATTTTAATTTTTTTAATAATATTTATGTAACATTCTAGGAACATTTTGCGCAATAGGGCAATTTCTTGTCCAGTATCTGTCTCCATGCATTCGACGCATCTGCGAGCCTTCATGCGTATCCACACGAAACACATGTGACCCACGGCGGGGGCAGATGCGGTGGAAGTGGAGGAACGAGTGGAGTACGCGGCACTACGCGCGTAACGGCTGGGAGGACGAGTTTGTTGCGTTGGTCGAGCGAATCCGATTACTTGTTCCCCGTAGAAGAGCATCATCAGCTAGCGAGAGTGACGGAGCGAAGCATGTTAGCGGTGGATCGCCAGTGTCCTAGTACCTGGTTCTCATCTCTAGCAGGATGTCGTAGAGACCGTGTGGGAGTTGTGAAAGGGGAGTACGGACTGTCGACATACCTTTCGAGTCGCATTGCTATGCGAGCGATCCGTTTTCTCACGAGTGAACCTGATCGGATACGTTTGCGTCGCGATACATAAACTGCAGATGAAGTAGCACGGTTTGCTTAGTTTCTAATCGAGTCAGGTGTCGAATCCTGGTGGTTCAGTTTGTTCGACGAACATCCAAGATTCGCCGGTTATAAATTGTCAAGTTATAAATTGTCTCACTGTTCCTTTGTCTCTTGGTATTCTTTGTACCTGGAGAAAGTGGTCCTTTATTACTTTTGGTGAAAGTGCGATAAACTAAAGCAGCAAGGATGATGATGGGCGATCAGTTTCGGAGTAAAGTGGAACAATACTCACCGAAGTCCTCGCCGAGGGGAGCACGGTCTCCGGTAGTATCTCGACAAGATTCTACTGGAACACTAAAGACCACTATTTCCCTTGGAAAAAATCCTTCCATCGTCCACAGTGGACCATTTTATCTGATGAAAGAACCCCCAGGTAACGAAAAAGTCATGAATATAAAAAAAAGTGATCAATATGTATAACATATCTTGAAAAAGTAATTAGTAAAACTTAAAATTATACGTATTGCTTTTTAGGGGAAAGCGAACTGACCGGAGCAACAAATTTGATGGCCTATTATGGCCTGGAACACTCCTACAGCAAGTTTAGTGGTAAAAAGCTTAAGGAACAGCTATCATCTTTTTTGCCAAATTTACCTGGTATTATAGACAGACCTGGGCATCAAGATAATAGGTAATTTAATTTAAATTTTTTCCTGATACAAAAGTACTTAAACATCCGTAAATGTTTACTTCACTTTTTGTTCCTTTTATCTTTTTAAGCTCTTTAAGATCGGTAATTGAGAAACCGCCCATAGGCGGTAAAGAACTACTGCCTTTAACGAGTGTACAGCTTGCCGGTTTTCGATTGCATCCTGGTCCAGTAAGTATTTTTATATATTAAAATATATGTACATAAATATAATTATTAAAATATATATATGCAGACTTGAATATGCATATAAATTCATATGAAATATTTAAGCACTAAGATTCACCAAAAATAGGATTATTTCTCTTAATTGATTTATTCTCGTCGGTCTAATGTGAATTATAATTAATATATATTTTTTTTCTAAAATAAATGATGTATGTGTGCAAAACGTTAAGTTGCATAATGTAATTTTGCAGCTGCCGGAACAATATAGATACATAAATCAAGCCCCTCAGAGAAAACACAAAAATAAGCATAAGAAACACAAGCACAAGCCTGGAGAAGTGCTCAGTGGACAGGAGACAGCCACGACGGACGTAGGTGGTTCCGATACTCACGAAAAGAAACATAAGAAGCAGAAAAGACACGACGAGGAAAAGGAAGCTAGGAAGAAACGAAAGAAAGAGAAAAAGAGGAAAAAGCAGAAACACAGCCCCGAGCATACCGGCAGCCTCACACCGTCACAGCATTCCAATTCGTGATCTCTAATCTGTCCTTTTCAATTCATGCCAAACTTTTGATCGAAATCTGAAAAAACATACAATATGTCAATACGATTAAAATATACACAAAAAAAATATATATATATTTATTTGCGCTAGGGCTGTAAACATATTATGATATATCCGCATTAAATATTCTATGTTTGTAGAAATAGTTTGGATTTGAAATTCATAAATCCATAAATTTGCAAAGCAGTCGAATAGTTATAAATTAATAAATTTGAATTATTAATTCATATAATGAATTAATTAATTTGTATACTCACGAATATTCGGATTAATATCCCGATCATATTTACAGTCCTAACTTACGCATAATATACATATATGCTTATTTTTTCGATATTAGATGACACGACGAGGAAGGAAACTATGTGCAAATTATATGTAAAATATACATCGTGTTATAAAGTAATATAATCTTTTTCGTTCAAAGGATTATGTATAGGTCTGCTTTTAGAGCCGGTTTAGACTTGTAAAAAGTTTAACGCTTTACGAAAATTATTTGCTCAATCTTCTTTATTGTTTTGCACGCCAAACAAATGTTACAATTACATGCCTTATGATGGAAAGTTTCCGAGCAGAATTAAGTTTCGCCAAATCTCGGCGTTAAAATGGCAGATCGATTAATGTATGATGTTTTATTTTCGAATGTTTTGTGGCATAAGCGAAGTTCAATCGTTGCAATTAATTTTTAGTCTAGTGTAATCTTTTTTTTACCTAATCGTGCAGTATCATTAAATGTATATATTATGTTTTCGTAACCTTTGCGTATTCGAAAGTTGCCTGTATCGGTAAAGGGGAAGTGTAAAATATGACCGTGTGTAATATAACGATCGTACGCAGGATACACTGTCCCAGATCTATCGATCGCTCATGCGTCGCGTTATAATTGTAAAGTCCATATTAGACTGATGAGGATTGCGAATTGGAGATTAAAGTTTAATCAATCAAAACGAATTAAATCGAAAATTATCTGATTGTTTGAATTTTAATTTTAACTTTGAATTTGTAATTCTCAATCTCCAATGCATAATTTGATATGGGCTTAGCGCGATTGTGTCAAAATTAAGGTGTAAATATATATACAAGACGGAATTAACGGGAGATTATGTAAAGACAGAATTGTTCGGATACATTGCTGTTCTATGTAAAGTGATGTTTACGAAGTTCATGAATGTACAATACATATGTTTTAAACCTGACGCGACGGGTTTAGTAAAGAGAAAGAGAGATATATTGGAGCGGGAACATTCGAATCTAAATGTAATATTTATAGCGCGAAAGGGAAAATTAAAATGATCGATTTCACAACAGCAATAATTGTATCGTTTTTCATCCCAGTTATCTTTTTTTCATTCTCCTTATAACAATGTCAACATCAGACGAACGTAATAAGCTCGAATCGTCTTATACCTGTTTCTAATGTAGATAATAGGCTGTATTTCAAAATCACTGCCAGTACTGAAAATTTATGCTGCATGAAAAGTTGTAAACTACAGATTTTTAGCGTTGGCAGTGAATTTTGGAACACAATCTAAACTTCAGTCTTCGTTCAACTCACTCTTCATCTTTTTCTAGTTCTAAGAATTAATTCTTAGAACTGAACCGAGATTAAAGTTTAATCGGTGGAAACAGGCATAAAGTTCTATTTTCTATAACAGAATTAGTACAGAACTTTTAGAATTGAAAAAGAAAAAGTAGTGCAGAACTAAATTTCGAATTCGAATATTTAAAAATTCAGAATCTCACTTCAGCCCATTCATTAGGTTTGTTCGCGTTATTTGTACTTTTTGCACTCAGGATTTTTGCTTTGTTTCTCTTTAACATTCGAATATATATTTATTTCCTTTTAAGTGCAAAAGTTTTTAAGGGTTTCAAGCCACGCGAACAGACTTTTTGTAGCTGCACCCTTGATGAAGAATTCTAAATTACTTTTGAATTAGTATACTAGTTAGAGTGAGGCTGGAATCAGACTACGCATTGAAGATTCAGATTGAAGATTGAATATTAAAATTTGACCAGTGAGGACAAAGAAATTTTAGCTCCTATTGTTTTGATTGATCAAATTTCAATCTTTCAATCTTTAATCTCAATATTCAATGCATAGGCTGCGTTCAGCAGATTCAACAGTTTTGCAACCGTTTTATGATTGTCTGCTGAGATAGGACCATTCTTCTAGATCTAAAAGTATGATCCAATCAGCGCGAAGGAAACTTCCAACAGTTGCAAAACAAACGTTCTGCTGAACGCAGCCATTCTGCTGAACGCACCCATTGCACCGGGATATACCCGTTCAGAACTTGGGGTGGAAAAAGAACAGACCTACAAGCTAAGTTGCAGAATGGCGCGAATTTTAAAACGCGAAACAATATTTTTATGCGTAAACATCTAAAAGCGACGGATTCGTGTTTTTCTGAAACAAAAGCAGACCAGCAGTGTAAACACTAAACAGTTGTTACTCGAGTTACAAGATCCGAGTCGTTCGAGGTTTCCGAACGTTCCAATTGCGATTCGAAACAATTCGAAATCGGACGAAGTGAGGTTTGGGTTCCATCATCGCTATCCGCATTGCGTGGCACGAGGCGGCACGACCTTGTTTCCCTGCGACTCGTCGACGGAGTCACACGCATCAGCAAAAATGCAACGTAGTATACTCCGCGCAACAACTATCCAGCTGTTACAAAGACGCCTCTTCAAGAAGTACCACGTGAGGGTTAGATTTGCGCCCAGCCCTACTGGTAACGATCGTTACACTATTTATGCCGGTTTTCTCTTTTTTGCTGATTCAGTTTTACTGAAAAAATACCAATATCAATATTGGGCGTTGTCTTTGCAAGTTGTCCCTAGAGCCAATCCTTATTCATGTATTGTTTCAGGCCACTTGCACTTAGGAGGATTGCGCACCGCGTTGTACAATTATTTATTTGCACGTAGCAACAATGGCACATTTATTTTGAGGATCGAGGACACCGATCAAACAAGGACAGTTCCTGGAGCAATAGAAAAAATTCAGGATGATTTGCTATGGGCAGGAATTATATCCGACGAAGATCCTACCAGAGGTGGCCCTGTTAGTCCTTATATACAGTCATCGAGGCTTGAATTATATAAGTATGTATATATCTTGGTGCCCAGATTTGCAAATCAAAAACAAAATATCTGCTATAAATTTTGTTGGAATACTAGTAGAGATTGAACAGAATCTGCAGAAGAATAATGATGGTAAATTGAGTGCAAAAATTGAATAGAATTTGTTTTTAATTTCTATTCTTTTATTTCTTTTATATTATTTCCAGGGAGCAGGTGTTTAAACTCTTGAATAATGGATCTGCTTACTATTGCTTCTGCACGGAGAAAAGGCTGAGCCTGCTGAGGAAAGAGGCGATGAAATGTGGACAAGTACCTAAGTACGATAACAGGTGCCGACATTTTACTAAGGATGAAATAAAAGAAATGATTAGGAAAAACTTGGCTTATTGTATTAGATTTAAGGTATGTCTTTTAAACTTAACGGATCGATAGACTAATAGTAGACTAATAGACTAATAGATTTATAACAGTCGCTTTATTGAATATCTCAGTTACCATCCACACCAGAAGCCTTTCATGATCTAGTTTATGGAGATGTCTTGCATGATATCACTAAGTCTGAGGGAGATCCAGTTATCATAAAATCAGATGGTTATCCTACTTATCATTTTGCAAACGTAGTCGATGATCATTTTATGGAGATATCTCACGTCTTACGTGGTGTTGAATGGCAAGTTTCTACACCTAAACATATTATGCTTTACAAGTAAGTAGTTTTATTTAAGATAAGTAAATGTCTTCTCTCTGAATTCTTATAATTGGTGACAGTACAAATTTTATTTATTACAGAGCATTTGGTTGGAATCCTCCTATATACGGACACTTACCTTTAATAATGAATGCAGATGGATCTAAATTATCGAAAAGACAAGGTGATATAAAAATCGAGTCATTCCGGAAACAAGGAATTCTTCCACTAGCGTTATTAAATTACGTGATAGGAGCTGGTGGTGGTTTCCACAGAGAACAAGACAGCAAAGATCTTTACACTTATGAGGAATTAATTAAACAGGTAATTGCTTCTATTTACAGTTTTTCTTTCTTTAAGCTATTCTTAAATATAAACGAAATATAAAAAAATATATAATACATTTATGTTCTCTATTGATATGTATTTTATTTTTCATTGCAGTTTGATATTACTAAAATAAAATCAAGTTCTGGCAAACTTATGCCCGAGAAATTATTGGAATTTAACAAATTGGAAATGGCAAATTTACTACGAAATGAAAAAAACCATAAATTTTTTATTGAAAGAATTAAGAGATTAGTGTCAGAAGCTTTTCCCGAATGGTATGTTCAATTCTACGTATAGCATTGCTGATAATCTTACTTTTAAAAAAAAATTTGCTTATATCATTCCTATATGTTTTAGGAAAAATAATGGAAATTTGCAATTAGATGATAATCACATAATAACAACGTTTAAATGGGCACAAAACAGGATATCGACACTCAATGATCTCGTCAAAGAAGATTTGGCATTTTTGTGGATTGTTCCATCTTCTATGCCAAATGTTAAAGAAGATGGATGTTCAGGTATTAATATTTTTTTGTACAAAGAATATCCTATTTATCAAAAATTATGTATTATTACATTATTTCAGATGCGATTAAGCTATTGAACGCGGAATTAGTGGAAATAGATGCGAGTAATTACAAGACCGATTGGATGGCACCTTATTTAAAGGATTTTGCCAAGAAGAATGGAGTTCCATTCGCTGCTTTGATGGAAACTCTGAGAAGCGTTATGAGCGGCGTAAACGTAAATATATATATAGCATATAAATTTTTTATTGTAAAGAAAAAGCTATTAATATATATAATATGTATATGTATAAAATTAATGCTTCATAGGTCGGGCCACCTGTTGCTGAAATGATGGAAATTTTGGGAAAAGATAGAACGTTATTGCGATTACAGCGTTGTGTTTCTTGAGAACTTACATATGTTGTGTAATTGCAAATTGATTGTACTGTCAAAGGTAAAAAATACATTTAAAGAAATAAATCCAGTTTACATGTAATTCTGCAGAAAAATAGTTCTGCGGGTTCATCAATATTATTAAAGTATCTTTCAAAAATGATTGCATTGTATTGCTAGAAAAACAAAAACAATTGTGTAATAATTTATAATTTTAATGTAATGTAACTAAATATTTTATAAATTTAATTTAAAAAAATTAAGTAAAAATATTTTGTGTACATTTTATATCTATGAGAAACAAATATATTGAAATGTAGACAATATTGTACATATTGTGTCTTTTTGTTAACAGTGGCATCGATTTTTTTGCATACATGAAAAATCTGCAAAATGTATGAATTTATTAAATTCATTAAATTATATACATTAATGTTATTACATTAATATTATATATACTTAATTGCAATATATAAACATATTAATATATATTAATATTATACTTAATTTATAATATTGTATATTAATAATTAATATACAATAATATATTTACATTCTATAAAAAAATAATTATAAAATAATGCAAAAAAGTTTTAAGCAATAATGAGGAATTAAAATATTAATGATTTTATAATATTACTATTTCTCACATTTTTTATAACTTAAATAATTAGTTTATTAGGGAAAAGAGTAACGTAGAAATTTTAAAATACAGAACTTTGAGATTTAACTTTATTACAGAATAGTGATCTTTTTATACAGAGTGTGAATAATTCGTAAAATTTTCATCTTATATAATGCAATATATAATTTATAATATACTTAAGTACAAAAAGATTAATACATGTAGAAATAATGCGTAATTATCTTGGCAATAGTAGATTTTATATATCTACTTTCGTCGAAGTATAAAGTGCTTGTATGTAACAAATTGAACACGTTTATTCTTAAATAGCTTTTTCGATCCAATGCGAGATTTTTCTTATACAGCACAGGATTTATAATTCAGTACCAAATGCTTAGATAACACATATGATAGCATTATAATCTTTGAGACAAAATCTGAGAATGTCATAGGAAAAATATGTTTAATATTTACATTCTTTGACGTACAAGAATGAGGAATGAGGAATGAGAAAAAATTACAGATGAGACGTCTATTTCGATTACAATAAAACAAGTTATTGATATTTAATTGATATTAATATCGTTGTATTAATATAATTATAAATCCTGTTTATATTAATATTAAGATTGCTTTATAAATTGCCAATTAGAATGCCTGGTATCATAATGATTCTGAACTGGTCGGACAAAATATTATCCATGCTTAAAGTTTAATTTTAGTATAAAAAATCATTATGAAACCAATTTCCACACAAATATAAGTCTGTGGTTGTATAAGGCCTGTGTTATTAAAAATTAACAAATATTTTTTCTTAATTTCGAAGATATTAACTGTACAAGAAAATAATGCGATGAATAAATGATTTATACAAGATGTTTACATCAGTCTTCGAAGATTTAATCAAAAGGACAATAAAACTGAATATATCATTAACGAAATATAAATTTTAAATCATTTTCACTGTGCAATTCCAAAATAATAGTAAAATATATAGGTAATAAAAATTAGAGTCCGACCGAAACCACATTTTGACCTCCGATCGAAATTGAAAACGAATATTCGGTTGTTATTCAATTTTAGTCGAAAACGAAACCCAAACTTAAATAAGTCTTATTAAAAAAAAAATAAGAAGAGAGAGAAGCTAACGGAGTCACATTTTTTTCGGCCGGAATAAAAATCGACATTTTTTAATTAATTTTACAGAGATCGTATAATTTTCAGAAATCATAACAAATTTATGTACTCTTTAAAAAATAAGATTTTATTAAAATATCTAACTATACTAACTATAATATAATAATATTGCATTCTCAACTTTCAAAGAAATCAAATCACAGTTATTATTAAGATCACATCAAAGTTTGTATTCAAATTGTCTTAAGCTTAATCAACGAGTTAATAATTAAAATCGAACAGTTGTTTTTTGAACGCTCACCGGCGTATTGCAACTTGTATAGTTTCGGTTTACTCATCGAAATTTTCTCTTAATTTCGGCTGAAACCAAAATTAGAAACCCTAATTTTTGACCGAAACCGAAACCGAAAGTTTGGTTGGACTCTAATAAAAATTGAAATTCTGTAAACCAAAGTGTTTGACACAGATTACTATATATCTTTATGTACAGATCAAAGTTTATATACAAATTTTAATTTTAAAAACTTGACATATTCTCATTTTGACATAAAAAAATCTTATAATTAAAATAAATATTGCATATTGCTAAAATATTGGGATAAAATTTTAATATCGTAGAGATAAATTTTCTTGCATTATAGATTAGTTTTTATCACAGTACTTTCAGATTTCATAAAGGAAGAATATATAGTTGTAATGTATGTATTCATGGGTTTACTTTGCGAACTAGAGGTTTTCTATGTCTCGTTTGGATATATATTTATCAATCTATACGTACCATTTTCAATCTAAAATTATAAGGTTTATTGCATGATTAATTGTTTAAATGTACCTGTGTAGATATGTATGATTTTATAAAACTTTATTAAAAATAATGTTAATCGAAAAAGCTATAAATATGAAGACATTTATCTAATATATTTTTTAACAAAAAAAATTTAACAAGACAAGTTTACAATGTTAATTTCTGATAAATAATTTTGATTGTCAAGTGTGAATTATTTCAAGCATTTTTGGAAATTTTCAAATTATTCACTATATAAAAACGCAAAACGCAAATATTTTTAAGCAATGATTTTAAACTAGTTTTATGTGCAGAATGTGTGTATAATACCACTGTTTTTATGTATATTTCGAAGATTACTTAAGTCAGTGATAGCCTTAAAGACGTCACAAATTGAGAAGAAAAAAATATATCTTCATGTAAATCTGCTCATCCATTCCGAATTATATAATAATAACTCAGGTTAGAAAAATTTATCACAGGTAAAAGGATAAAATGTGCTCTCACGAATACATACATTTAAAAAGAAGTATAAGATACATCTCAAGTAAAAGAAATGTTTAGAAAATGTATAGATGTAAATAGATTCCTGAAAAACGAATACTATTTTTTCTTCAAATATATATATATATATATATATATATATTCCTTCGAAGCTTATTTTTAAAATACTGTTCATTAGGAACAGTAATTGAATATGATTAAATATTTGTTTATATGTTGATTAAATGTTTGTTTATATATTAAGATTAACATTTAGATTAACACCTCTATACGTTAAGATTAATATCTTGTCAACATTCACCATAAATTATGAGGTACGTTCGGTAATTGCTTTATTTTAATAAAGTAGGAGAAGGTGGGATAAGACGGACCGCGGGGTAAAAAGATTTATTTACTAAATTTTATTAGTACCTCATCTATAAGGTAAAACGGACCAAATTAAATTTTATAAAAATCTTATTAATATTTTTGCAAGATTTGAAAATTTAACATTATGATCTCGTAATGAACATGTTTAAAGCTTCTTTATGTTAAATTTTATTTCTGTTTGGTTATTAATAAAAAAAATATAACCATTTCCGTTTAACGAGTCCATCTTATCCCATCTTCTCGTATATAAAACAATCTATACACATTTTGGAAAGGAATGTTATCATACACGTGTGGGTTGCACACGATAATGTAAGATTGTCAATATTTCGTATATTAATAATCTTACTGTAGGAATATCTGAAGAATACACACAAGATAACATTGACACAAATATATCTATATATAAAAAGAGCAAAAGACCAAGTTATAAAAATTGACAGGTATTAAATAATAAAAATTATAATATATTAGTTTTAAGAGAGAGAGAAGGCATAAAAAATTTAATTTATTTTCCTTTTTTTTCTGGAAAAACTAATTTAATTTTTAAATATTTAATTACTTGTGATGAATTTTCATAGCTGCTTGATTATGTAATTCTGAATGGAGATGAGCAGACTTACGAGAAAATGTTTTCTTTCTTTATTGCTTTAATAGAATGTATGTTAATTTTTGACGTTTCTAAGGCTATTACTGACTTAAATAATCTTTAAAATATATATACATGAAGCAGTGATATTATATACACATTCCGCATAAAACTAGTTTAAAATCATTGTTTAAAAATATTCGCGTTTTTATATAGTGAATAATTTGAAAAAACTTCTAAAAATATTTGAAATAATATATATTTAATAATCAAAATTATTTATCAGAGATTAACATTCTGGACTTTCTTATCTTTTTTTGTTGGAAAAATATATTAGGTAAATGCCTTCGTTTTATAGCTTTTTCTATCTTTTCGATTAACATTATTTTTAATAAAATTTAATAAAATAATACATATACAGACATTTAAACACTTGACCAATATACCTTACAGTTTTAGATTAAAAATGGTATGTACAAATTGATATATGTATCTAAAAGAGACATAGAAAATCTTCAGTTTGCAAAGTAAAATCATGAGTACATACATTACAAGATAAATCTGAACTATTTGTGATATAAACTTGTGATCTTTGAAGGAGTCTAATAGTGGACTCTAAATAGAGACTAATAGTGGGGTACTAATACTCTAGGTAGGGTACTAATAAGATTTACAACGACTTACTTATTTTTGTCTTTTATACAATGTCTTGTATAAAACACTAACGAATTTAAATCAACTTATTTGCAACATTAAAGAAAATTTCTTTACATTCTAATGTATATCTAAAAGGACAAAAGTGCCTATTCTAGAATCACGTATTTTGTACTATATATACATATCTAGATATATAAATAGAATTGCGCTGAAAATTTGTTACTGCATAATAAATTCAGCTTCGCTCTTGTGAATAGTCTTTATATGGAAGGAAACCATTTCGCGTGTACCACATTTTAGTAAAGAATTCGATACAGGCAAAATGATTTCTTTCCATACAAAGACGTACACGTGCAAAGCTGAATTTGTTACGCAGTAACAAGTAAGATGGTCTCCTTCCGTCCAGTAACACCAGAAATTGAGCAAAATTGTAATTCAATTAATAA